TCATCAGACCAAGCTCATCTATCTAAGTTAACTCATCAGACCAAGCTCATCGATCTAAATATCCTCATCAGAGCAAGCGAATGGATCTAAATAAACTCCTCATATCAAGCCCGTCGATCTAAGTAAACTCATCAGACCAAGCACTTCGATCTAAGAAAACTCATCAGACCAAACACATCGATCTAAGTAAACTCATGAGACAGAGCTCATCAATCTAAGAAAACTCATCAGGCTGAGCTCATCGATCTAAGTAAACTCNTGCGGGGTGAGCGACTGCGGGAGCCCCAGCTGCGAGCCTGAGTGCGGCTGCGGGAACGTTCCAGACAAAGGCCAGGCCACTCCCAGGCCCAATTAAGTCCCTCACCCCCAGCCCCGGCCTCCCAGCCCTCATTGTCCCGGGGTCGCCAATTAGCCCAGGCGCCCCGCGTACCCGCCGCTCCGGTGCCCCAAGGCCTCCTTAACCCTTCAGGGCCTGGCACTAGGGGCCCTGGACGGCAGAAGCTGCCAGCCCAGGGGACGTGTGAGGAGGGCGTGTGTTGGGGTGATAGGGACCCAGGGGTCGCTGAGGCCTGTTGGTGACCTAGCACGTCGCTGTGGGACCCTGTGTGTCGGGAGTGTGGAGTCTGAGAGGGACGGTGCGTGTCGGTGTGGGACTGAGTGATTCACAGGAGACTGCGGTGTGGCTGTGGGGACTCCGCGAGGCCCCTAGCGCCCTCGCCGCTTGGATCCCGAGGCCTAGGGACCACATTTCTCCCTCGGTTAATCGGAGTCTTCCGAGCCCTCAAGCCATTCCTTCCCCTCTCGCCCGCCGCCGCCGCGGAGATGGCGCAGAACCGGCTCCTGCCGCCCAGAGCACCGCAAACTCCCACGCAGGGCACCTCTCGGGCCGGCGGGCGCCTTCAGCCTGGCGCTCCCCAGGACGCCCCACGTCAGCGCCCCGGCTCGAGGCCCCGACCCCCCACTTCCCGGGTGTAGGACGGCCCCTTGAGGGACCGAGGTTCTCACTCTGAGCCTGTCTTCCTCTGCTCCGGGAAGGACCCGAAGCCTAACCCCGCGTCCTCCTCCTCCTTCGCTGTCCTTGGCCTCAAAGTTCGGGCTCCAGCCGGACAGGCAGGGTCCGCCCAGGGGCCGAGCGCTCCGTGCTCTAGGGACCGGGCAGTGGCAGACGGGAGACAGACCCTTGCACGCTTGGGGACTGGGGCAAAGGGGAGGGAGCCCGAGCTCCTGGTCCCCCCTGGGCACTCTCCCGGGGTCGCCTTTGGGTCACCCTTCAGTGAATGGGTTGGTGCCTCTGTCCGAGTGGGCCTGGGACTGTTTTGCCCCTGGAGTTCCTTTTGGGCTCTCTGGAGGTGCAGATGTGCTCCCCTTCATTCGGTGGGGCCGGAGACCCCGAACCCACTCCCGAAGCACCAGGTCCGAGCAGACGGCCGCCGCTCTTCCCGGCCCCACCTCCTGGCACCGCCCGCCCCTCCAGGCCTGGAGTGAAGGCGGAGCTCGCCCATCCCGCGGGCAGTGGCAACTCCTCACGTGGCCACGAGATGGCGCTCCAAGCCAGGGGCCGGGCAGCGGCCGGATAGTCCGCGCGGGCTAGAGCCGGAGGTGGACAGAGGGACCCACAGTGATGGGCACGGAGACAGAGCCACGGACTGACATAGATCCAGGCCGAGAGATCGGCACAGGCAGCTGAGGATCGAGGGGCTCTGGCCGGGGGCTGCTGACATGGACCGGAGGGCCCGAAGCCCCGGCAGGGCCTTCTCTCCTCTTCGGGGTCGCCCGGCAGTGCCAACGCCCAGACATGCGACGCCCGGCTGCAAACACTGACCCTCGCGATCCCTCTCGGGTCTGGGAGGCAGTCTGACTCGGCCGCTCAGAAGCGGGACTTGGGATCCGAGGAGCCGGACGAACTGCTCTGGTCTGCGGGAGCGAGGGACCCACCCGACGGTGCCGGCTTGGGGTGGCGGGTGGCGGGGGGAGTGGGAAGTTGAGGCAGCTCCCGGATCGGCCGGGACTCAGGGCTCCTCCTGCGGAGAGGTCCGCCTCGGCTCCTACCTTCACCTCCTCACCAGCCCCACCCAGGTCTTCAGGGTCGAGCGCGGGGACGTGCAGGATGGGCCCTGGGAGCTGCTTACCTGGTGTCCTGTCTCCCTAGGTCCCGTGTGCCAGAGTCCAGGGGAGGCTTTGGGTCTGACTTATTCCAGAGGAAGGTGGTGGGGAATGCGGAGGGCACAGGGGTCAGTCAGCCTGAGAACCTCTACTCCGGATTAAAAACCACCATGGTTCTCAGTCAGGTTTGAATGGGGGTAGGGGGATATGTGAGGCCCCCCACATATCCCTTGGAGTAGATGGATTGGAGTAGGGGGCGGCGTTTGGAAGCCTGATTCCAGCAGACCCTTAATGTCCCCAGAGGAGCTCTGGCACCCTTGGAGATTAACCTTACACACTTTTCCTAAGGGCACACAGCTAGAAAGCAGCCCAGTTAACACCAGTCTAGGGTCATTTCCAGTGCAAAGGCCACCAGCTTGTTGTGTGACCCCAGCCAGGTGTCTTCCCTGCCCCAGGCTCTCAGCTCTTTTCCGTTTCAAAGTATAACAGAGACTAGGACCAAACCTTTGGTAATTTAATAATTATCTACATGCCCATCTGTGACTGAAGCAGCTGCTTGGTAGGGAAACTGGACAGGGGATAGGTACAAGAGGGAACTCTGTCTCTAGCTGTGAGAGCTTGGACAATGTGACTTCCTTCTCTGGGCCCCAGAATCCTCATCTGCGAAGCAAGTGGCTTGGACTAAAATAAAATTGATCTGTGAATGGCCAGTTGATCTTGGCTTGGTTTCCAGTGACCTCCAGCCTCGACTATTCTAGAGGAGAGGCAAGAACGATGCTCCCATGTAATGCCCAAGGAACCTGAGCCTGAGGGATAGGTGGGGTCACTCACAGACCTTGGAGACCTTGGCTGTTGTTGCTAAGATTTGGGGGATGGGGGCAGGGCTGGTGGCCTGGACTAATTCCCAATTAGGAAATTGCATTCCAGGTCTTGAAACCCCCAGGGAACCAGCTGGCTCCAGCTGCCTCCACTCCCTGTGGGATGTGGCTGTCACCACTGCTTTGCCTTCCACCTCGGGCATGCTGCTTTTGGGGAGGCACAGACTGGTGGGGTCGGGGAGGTGGCTTTAGTGCCCCTCACCACAGTTTGTTGACTGACTGTGTGTGACTTCTCTCCAAAGAGAGAAGGGGATACTAATGGAGGACATTCAGGCCCGTATCTAGGATAGCCAGCAGGCGGATTCCTTTTCTGAGTGGAAGGCTTTGTGGTGTTGACCGCACTTTCTCAGAAGGGCTCCCACTGAACTCTCACTGGCAGCGTAGAGATTATGAATCCCCACTTCACAGATGATGACACAGGTTCACAGAAAGGAAGTGAGGTGCCCAAGGCCACCCAGTAAATAAAGGACATAGCTCTTTCACAATCCCATGGAAACTTTAGCTGATGAAGTGATGATGGATGAGAGTCAGCCTTGCTGCTGGGAAAGGGCAAAGGGGCTGGGCCGGCGCCCCCTGCAGCAGATGCCAAGCCCCGGATGTCCTGGCCAGGAGGTGTGTCCGTGGGAGAAGCAGCTTGTCTCAGAGCCCACGGCCAGGAGACCAGGGGAAGGGCGGCCATGTGGGCCAGCCAGGGACCTCTGCTGAGGGCAGGGGACATGATGGATTACTTGAGATAGTGCCTGTCCTGTGCTTAGCTCAGGGCATGGCTCAGGTTCTCACGATTATTTATTTCCCTACCAAAGAGAAAAAGATGTCCTCTGGCCCCACGGCTCCTGCTCCTCAGCCTGGCAGGAGCTGTGAAACACTCACTGCATTTCTAACACTGCACACCTAACACCGCACATGAATTTTCTTACCTAATCCTCAGCACTGGGCAGATGGTATAATCATCTCCATTTTACAGAGGTGAAAACCAAGGCCTAGATCTACCCAAGGTCATAGGGCTGCTAAGAAGCAGACCACGAGGTCATGCCAATGACTAGCTGACCCTAAGCCTGTGCTTTCTCCTGGACCCCTGAGAGTTCCTGCTCTACAGTGCTGGGCCCCAGAGTCTCTTTGGCCATTTGGCCCAGCCCTTGTGGTGGGCTGTGGGACTGGTTTCATTTAGCTCTGGACTAGATGGTCAGTTCCTTCATCCTGCCCCAACTTTGGCTCTTATTCTCCTCTCAGAAGGGCTGTCCACCCTTCCAGCTTTGGCCTCTCACAAAGAGTCCTGTAATAGTCATCTTAATACGGATATTCCCCATTCTTTTTTTTTTTAAAGAAGACCAGTAAGGGGAACTTAACCCTTGACTTGGTGTTGTCAGCACCACGCTCTCCCAAGTGAGCTAACCGGCCATCCCTATGTAGGGACCCGAACCCGTGGCCTTGGTATTATCAGCACCGAACTCTCCCGCATGAACCATGGGCCAGCCCCGGATATTCCCCATTCTGGAAAACCCTTTAGCAAGTCACCCAGTTGGTCACACCCCCAGCCACCACCCCACAGATCCCCATACACAGATCCCTCCACAGACACACATGTGTACACCCACATGAAGACCTATACATAGGCAAACCAACACCCACCCACAAAGACACGCAAATATTCACATATACAGACACACACACACACACACACAGAGGCAACTCACAACCATACACACATAGACAGGCATATGGCCAGACACAGAGATGTGCACATACAAAGCACTCAGAACACACAAGTAGACACATGCACACAGATACACTCATAGATGCTTACCCATGCACCCACCACACAAACACATGCACATGCACACACACAGAGACATGCCCACATGAAGATGCTGGGTGGGGGTGATTTTGCCTGGAGAGACCAGGACAGTTACCAGCTCTCCAGCCTCTCTGAGGCTCTGAAGCTCTGAGGCTCCCTGCTGTCCCCAGTTTGCTGGAGCTAAGCCCTTTCCCATCTCACCCCTATCCACTGCCATGTCTCCTCTTGGAGGGGATATGTTTAACGTCTCTGTCTCTGTCTCCTATAAGATCACTGGCTCCCTCAAGGTGGGAGCTGGTGCCTGTTTCGCTCATTGCTGGGTCCCCACACCTAAAACTGCTTAACACATGGCAGAAGCGCAGAAAGCATTTGCTGAATGAATGAACCGAACCCTCCAGAAGCCAGGTCCACATCTGGTTCCTCCAGGATACCCTCCCTCCAGGCCCTGGACCAGAAGCCTCTGCTCCACATCCACTTGGAGTCTGCTGTAGAGAGCTCCTGAGGGCAGAGGGCCTCGGTCCAGCCAATGGGGCCTCCTCTGTCTCCTGAGGAACTGAGACCCAAGGAGTGTATGTGTCTTGCCTGAGGACTTGCCTCTGCAGGAAAAGCTTCCAGGCCATACACACCAGGCACTCCAAGCCCTCCAGCCCTGCTCTCCAGCTCTGCAGGGTGATTCTCTGTTCCCTAGGGGGTCTGTACCCTCCAGCTTCTAGAGCAACAACCTTGTTTCCCAAGGCCAGGGCAAGCATCTCTATCTGGGACCCTTGGGGAGCCTCCTGGTATGTCTGTCCTCTGATCTCTCCTGTGTGGCAAAGGACTTTTCTGAGCTGAGCTGAGTTCACTGCCCTATTTAAAGCCCTCCAAGGCTTCCCATGCTCTTGGGGTCAAGACCAGACTCCTCAGTCTGGCAGTGGGACCTGTGTAAGTCCCACCTACTCATCTTCCCACCTCAGACCCCATCCCACGGTCCACCTGCCCAGCTCTGGTTCATCTTGCTGACTTGGCCTCAGGGCATTCTCACACTCACTTGCTCTTCTCTGGGCCTGGAATGCTCTTCCTACCCATTGGCTCATCTTCTGGTATCATCAGGAAGCTTCTCCTCAGCCTTCTCCCTTCTGCACATTGTTCTGTGTTAGCAGTCAATGAATGTGTGACCTTGAGCGGGTTACGTTACCCGTCCCCACCACTTCTTCAAAGTGGAGATGGGTACCTTGGTGCTGGGGGTGGGTGAGAATTAAGCGGGATGCTGTTTCTAACAGCCGGGCACGGAGACTGGCGCAGTGAATGCTGCTTTCCTGCCCCTCCTGACGAGGCCCCGCCTCTTCGGAGGAGCCTAAAGGAGACTGAGGATGGGGACCTGGGGACCATTTGGGAGTGGGACAAATTCCTCTCAGCCCAGGCCGGGGTTGAGCCAGAGGGGGTGACCCCTCCTGCCCTGGAAGCCAGGCACAGGCCAATGGGACCCTGCTTTCTGGGCTGACAGGCTGCCGAGTCCCTAAGCCCTAGGATTCTGGCCTAAATCTGGGGGTTTAGACTAAGCGACGGCAGGGGTTGGGGTGTCTGCACGGAGCACCGCTGGCGACCGAGCCGCCGCAGAGAAGGCCCGAGAGCAGCAAGCGCAGTGCGCACGCGCGCGATCGGGCTCCGCCTCTCCCGGGAAGCGAGGCAGGGGAGGCACGTTTCTTGCTGGAGCCTGGCTTGCCGGTGACCTGGCTGGATCAGTGTCGCCTGTGAGCTGCCTGGGCCATGCGGGCGGCGGCTCCCTCCTACCACTAGGTGGGGATCTGGAGTCGTCAGACCC